ATATATTTACCTATGTACATGCTGTATTTAGACCTCTATAAATGCCCTTTGCCTCCTAGTTCTTTCCTCTATTTCCTTTTACTTTCCTCGTGTCGCACTATCATGTTCAGCCTTCATTTGAGTTTCAGTGAATCCTCTTGGTTACATTGCCCGTGATCAAGCCCTAGCAGGCCTCCGACACCCTCCTCGCCATCAATTTTAGATCACTTGCTGTTCCCTTGTCCCTGGGTTTGTTAATACCTACGTCCCCCTCTCCCCCGCCACATTGTTATCTCCTCCAGATTGTTTATCCCACCTATCTTATCTAGATAGACCTGCAGAGATAATAATATGCACAAAAAACCAAGACAGAGCAGAACAAAGGAACAGAAAAATCCAATGACAAAAAAAGAGAAAAGCCTATAAATTGGTCTGCTTGGTGACCTTTAGGAGTGTTTACTGGTCAAGTCTGATGGGGTGACACATCCTAGCCCCAAAGTCTATTTTTGGTATTCCCTGGGGGCTTTATTGCTCTGCTCCCCTTACTGTTCTGTTACATGCCCTTAGTGTTTCGCCTCAGTGTGGTGGGGTCAGATTGGGCACAATTCCTGCACTGTGTTTCCAGTTGTCTCCCATAGCGCTATCAGTCAGTGAGGGACATCAAGTCTCGTGTTGGGGCCGGCCCTATGATCCTCTCTGTGCATTGGCTGCTCTGAGCAGGAATATCCTCCTCAGGGCTTGGTGGGCCAGGATGTGCTCCACTCTCTCCCCCTCCCTCCCACCCCCTTCGTTTACTCCTGTGTGCTCTGATCAGAAGCGCCCCTCTCCCTGAGCTGTAGCTTCCGTGCTGTCCTCTCAAATGGATTCCTCTACGGGGAGCCGGGTACTATCCACATAGCTGGGATTGAGGCAGGCCTCTCAGACTGGGTCCACGGTGTTTTCAGGAACTCCCCCAAGAAGGTGTTTCCATTTCTTTGAAACGTCAGCAGAGAAGCATGAGCCTTTAGGGTCCAAAATCATAGTCACATCTATACCCAACACAGTCGTAAATTACGAGAAGACTTCCAAACGCGTGGGGAGACAGAATCGAAAGATCATGGGTTTTTTCCACCAACTTTAGGAAGCCCCCACCCCCTTCCTATGATGTAAAATACTATTTTAAAGGGGGTGGGGTCCCAGGAAAGCTGCCCACTTGGGAGAGCCACAGGGGAAAGCAACCTTGTGGGGTGGGCCCCGGGTGGTTGCGTGCCCTCACGAAGTTGGGAGCAAGCCCCTCCCCTCCCTCTCAGTTCACAGGCATGACCCGGCAGGATGCTTTTCAAAGCCTGACTCAGAAAGCGCGGAGGAAGGGCGTGGGTGGAGACGTGACCAGCGCCAAGCTGAAAGACTGGCTGATCTCGCGGCAGCGGTACTGGGGCACGCCCATCCCCATCGTCCACTGCCCAGCCTGCGGCCCCATGCCTGTGCCCCTGGAAGACTTGCCTGTGACCTTGCCCAGCATCTCAGCCTTCACCGGCAAGGGAGGCTCCCCACTGGCCACAGCTGCCGAGTGGGTGCGCTGCACCTGCCCAAGGTAAGGCCTGTGGGTCCACAGCACCCTCCCTCCCAGTGCTACCTCCACTTCCCTCTTCCCTGGCCTGCAGACCCAGGAGCAAATGTCTTCTCGCCGCCATTCAGCCATGGGATAGCCATGAGCATCTACCCTGGGCGTTTTGGAGACCACGCCTGTGCACCGGCTTCTTCCTGTAACAAACCCACACCCACACTGCATTTCCTCGCCTGCCTTTTTGAAGACAGGATCATGTTTCTCTGTCAGCTCCGGATGTGTGTCAAGTGCAGTCTTTATGACGCCACTGGAGCTGGCACCAGCAGTAGCCTGCCCAGCCCCAGCATTTTCCCTCTCCCTTTCAGTGGAGCCACCTTTTGGATCCTCCTGAGAGAATTTGTGAGTGACTTGGCCCTTGGCCAGGACGGTTCCGGGAGAACAACTAGTGGGCTCAGTAAGGAGCCGCGGAGTACCGTTGAAAGGCCCAGCGACTAATGGAGTCAAGCACCCGGGCTCTGCCTCTTCCCCTTAGCTGTGTGGCCTTGAGAGAGTCACTTAACCTCTCTGGACTCCAGCCCTTTGACAGGGACCTAGAGCACAGGCCCTTGGGAGGAGTGTGTGAGAGAGGGCCGTTGGCATGGGCAGTCCTGCACGCAGCATGGCCCCCAGCAGCCTGGCTGCCACCCACCCCGCTCCTCGCCCAGGTGGTATTGCGATTTGAACTAGGAGCAGAGGGCCTGTTAGGGGAGCCCTGGAGAAGCTGGAGCTGTTGATGGCCTTACCGGTGGTCGCTGCAGCAGGGCTCTGCCGGTGGGGTTCCGGGGACAGCAGCCCTTGGGGGTGGGGGTGGGGGGGAGCAGGCGAGCTGGGTACTTCTCGTGAGCCTGTGGGTCCAAGTGCCCCTCAGCCAAGCAGAGCTGCCTAGCAGTCGGGGCAGCAGGCACTGGAGTCCAGCGAAGTGGATCCCTTCTCTCGTGCTCCAAGACCTAGGGTGGGTTCCTTAATCTTCGGACCCTGCATTATGCACAGTGCCTATCTCGTAGCTCCCGTTGGTTATGGGAATGACTTTCGGAGATGTGATGGTTGCTGCCATGCTGTCACTGTCACCACCGTTGCCTCGTCCGTACCGCCCACTTCGGGGTGTGAGCAATCAAATGCACTGTCTTTGAATCCACCAACCAGGTGGGAAAGAAAGCCGGCCGGCAGCCCTGAGCTCCCTGTGACGGCTTTTATAGACCGTACCCCTGCGTCAAAGGCGAAGGAGGGGAAGGAACCTGCTTCTAATCACTTCCCAAAATAGTATCTGCGTTCCGCCTGGTTGCTCTCCAGATGACCAGCCCAGCTTTCATTTAGGGACATGCTGCTGAGATCACTCATCTAACGCAGCCCAGGACGGTAATCCGCAAGACTCCCTCGAGGCTTTCTCCGTCCGACAAGTGCCTGCCCCCTTAGGGACCACCTCCACTCCCAGTTTAAGGCCCTTTAACAAAAAAGCATGAGACTGCTACTCCTGGGGCGCCCAGAGAAATCTGGGGCTTCCCTGTGCTCTCCTCAGCCCCTTCCATGATATGAGCCTGTGGTGGGGCTGGAGTGGCCGGGCCCTTGGCAGTTCTCTGTCAAACTCTTACCGGCTACTTCATGTCCACGTGAATGTAACCCCTCTGTCACTTTGAAATTCAAAGTGAACTCAAGCCCTCGCACACTGAGCTGGTGGACATTGCCGCGGTTCTTGTGGGGGCTCATGCTCCCTCCCCCACTTCTCTAAGACCTCCCAAGAAGTTGCCCTGTGACACGGGAGAGTTTTGGAAACAAGACTGGTCCTGCTTGCATTCTTCAGAAGCGAGAGCCTTGACTCTCAACTGTCCACTCCCCATGGCCACAGAGGGTCCCATTTAGACTAGCTGGCTCTACCTGTCAGACGCGAAATGCTGGTCCACTGCTGAGCCACGCCTTGAAGAGTCTTCAAGGGAGCTAGGCCCCCTCCTTGTGCTAAACTGAACCAAGGGAGGCCCTAGGCATTGTGGCTTTGAGTACCCACCTCCAGCTCTTTGAATCCCACAGGCCTGCCAGGCTGGGGTCACGTTCCAAGAAGGTTCCATGCCTCAGGCATCTCTGTTCCCAGAATGGGGACTCTGTCTTCTTTTCAGCCCTTCAGGCCCTAGGCAGCTCCCTGAGTTCTCGTCCATGGGCTGTGGGGCTCTGCCCACCCTCCTGAAGGGAAACTGCCTGTAGGCCGTTGCATACTGATAAATGCTTCATATCCAGCTCTCTGGGAGCATGGAATAAGGGAACACGCATTTGTAGCGTTTGCCAGTTTCTGCGGTGTGAACACTCCCAGGGCTAGTTTCCAGCTACCAGCTTGAGCCACTTGCTGCAGAGTTGGGAAGAGCTGCTGCCAGCTGGGGAGAGCTGGCTCGTGCACACTACAGTGGTCACTTTCCTACAGCCCCTCCATGGTGGCCCCCTGCCTGCAGAGGAGGGGAGACCCCAGTTCCTCCTTCAACACACCTGGCCGCATTTGGCTTCCAGCCCCTCTCCGTAAATGGATTTGCTCCGTAAGCATCATAACATAGGCATTGGCTGAGGGCAAGCTTGACGTGCCTGAAATAGAGGTTAATGCTCAAAGGAGACGCCCCGTGTCTTTTCCTCCCAGGTGAGACTTTGCAGCAGGTTAAATTGGGAAACGCAGAGACGAAGGCCCGTAATGGCCAACGAAGGGAATTTCCAGTTGGTACATTTCCTAAAGCAGCTTGTACGGTCCAGTATGAAAGGCAGAGCCTTCCCTGGGTTGGCTTTTCATGATGTGCGTTATTCTTAGGGCATGTTCACATTCCGCCTCCTTTCCAAAGCTTTCCCCAAAGCTTGTGGGAAACTGCCTTGAAGTTTAAAGAGAACACAATCGATGGACTGCATTTATACTTCTTAGGTGCAAGGGAGCTGCCCAGAGAGAGACCGACACCATGGATACCTTTGTTGACTCGGCGTGGTACTACTTCCGGTACACGGACCCCCGCAACACTCAGAGGTAAAGCCCCTGGCAAAGTCCTTACTAGCACAGGTCACTCACTGTGAGCCCCTCAAGAAGCAGACAGCAGGACGGAATTAGATGCACCAGAGGTGGATTGGCGATTCAAATCCCTGTGAAGGAGAAAGGGGAGAGAGGACGAGGAGTCTCTGTGACTCAGAGGTTAGAGGTGGGAGTACACCCAGGCCGTCTGCGCCTTAAATCAGCCACTGAAAACCCCGTGGAACACAGTTCTGTTCCAACACATGGGGTTTCCGTGAGCCAGGCAGAACTGACGGGGTGGCAGCCGGGGGTGGTTATCTGGAGAAGCATTAGGTGGGGAGAGCTCTCAGGCCACGATGCAGTGTTAGCACTTGTGAAAGGAGACGGGGTGGGGGTGGGGGGCAGTTCTGGGGAAGTTTGAGTAGGAAGAGCCTTTGACAGCAATGTTGCTCTGAAAAAGCCGTAACCAGGCCCACGGGTGTCCCCAAGCACAGTGCCCCTTAGAGAGTTCAGGCTGGTCAGAGATGCTACCTCCCCGGCCACACTCCAGTGCCCAGCCATTGCCTGGCATGGACACCACCACAGCACCAATGGCCTCAGCCAGGGCTGTGGGTCAGTGCTGCTTGCTGAGACCGGCTCTCCCTGCGGGAACATGGTAAATCATAGCTGAGGAAACCCCCAGTGTACCAAAAAATCATCATAAACTGAAAGGGGATGGACATGCTGTTGTCATCCCCCGCTGACCCTGCGTTTATGTGGTCATGGAGATGGAATGCTATTTGTTTAGCTGACGATCACCACGTGGCCTTGCAGGAGGCCGAGCAAGAGCGAGTGAAGGAGCCTGGTACCACACACAGTCAACTTGTAAAATTGATCAATCAATAAAGAGTTATCTACTGTTTCCTCTTTACCAGGAGAAACCGAGAACGACTGCAACGCGGGGGTTCTGAAGAGACAGGGCTGGGGGACAGGGAAGGAGTGGGGCTGGGAGCAGTGGTTTTCGGGACCAATGCCTCGTGGCACTGTGTTCACGTTAGCTCAGCGCATGTATTTCTTTGTTCAGGAAAAAAAATTACAGAAGAGAGAGAGTCGTAGACACGGAGGCGAAAGCGCCTGAGAACAAAAGCACACCAGTGTTCAGAGCATGGTCAAAAGACACTGTGCTGAAAATTAAAAGGACCCCAGCAAGCAGCCTTTGTCCACGGTAGAAATATTCCGAAACCCAGTAGTCCACGTGTACACATGCCCCCTCCTGATTCATCATTCGTCATGAAAGAATGCATTTCCAGTTAGCTGGGTGGCCCACCGTATCCCTGCCCGCATCCTGCCCTGGACTGTTACAGTCCCATAGTTGGGTTCAGGCATACCGAAAGGAGTGGGATCCTAAGTAAACAGCACCCCCACAAAGACAGAAGTCACCCTCCAGGGTGCCCCGGCTCGCCTGCAGGGGGCTCCTTCAAGCGTGGGCTGTGGGTGCATTCCCATGAGTAACAGCTGACGTGGAGCCCATGGGGGTCAGGCGCCTCAGATTGCCCCAAATGAAAAGCCCTCTGACAAGGAGGAGACGCGACGTGGCCTTGGTGGGGCCCTTGGCTGTGAGAGGGACATCCTGTGACCTTCGGTTCCCAACACATGGAGCCCGCGCAGTTCAGCCCTTCCCTCACGAAAACGCAAGCTCCCCCGGTCCCAGCCTCAGCGTTGGCTTATGCTCACAAGGATGGTTTCTCGGGCAGCTCACAGGTCCAAGCCATAGTTACGTTCCACATTGCACTCCCTTGTGTGTTCTCGACGTATCTCCTGGATAAGTACCATCTTTGGCTTTCCTGTCTCCTCTGTCATCCTCATTAGCTGTTGGATGCCTTTGGGAAATTATTGTGCACCAAGAAAACCCTTGATTTCAACACAAACCCATCAGCATGCCAGGAGGAGAGGGAGCCAGGCTGCACTAGGGGCAGACGTGTGGTGGGCGGTCACACCTACAGACGCCCACCCTTGCCCTTGCTGAGAGCTGTGGGCAGACAAGTCCATGCTGGGGGGGAGGGGGACGACCTTGTGTTGTGGGGTGAGACTCAACCGATATTTCAAATTGTGGAGTAGAACGCTTTCCTCCGAGACCGAAGCTTAGTTTACCTGATTGGATGGCGTAATGGGAGGGGGCTGTCTCTCTCTCTCTCTCATCACCAGCCTCCCCCCCCCCCCCATCTCAATCAGATCATGGAGATTATCTGTGCCCATCGGGACTGGAGAGCTTAAGGAAGGCTTTCTTTTAGGGGAATCCCTTTTGGCTGAAAAAGAAACGGTGATCATGCTGTGCGTTTGGTGTTAGGACACTAGGTCAGAAGTTCACACCCACTCTCCACTGCAGAAGAGGAGGCGCTACTCTGCCCCCCCAGAGATTCAATCGTGGAAACAAACCCTAAGGAGAGTTCTCCATCCCGAGGGTCACGGGGAGTCAGAATGGACTCCGCTGCGTCGGTTGAGTCAGCCGAGCTGCACACAGGGCAGAGTCGTTGGGCTGTGATCTCCCAGTCTCTACTTGGTCTCTCGGTTCTAACAGCCACCGCACTGGGTGCACAGAACTCTCACAAACCACCCCGACAAAGTGTACCCTGAAAGGGTTTATTGAGGAAGTTAACAAGTTGTAACGCCAGTGAGGAAAGCTCGCATTTGGGTCGTCAGCACGTCATTCCACTGCCAGCCTGAATCGAACCGCTCAGGTGTGTGGGTCAGCAAGTCCAGCTGCCTGAATTAAGTGCCCAGAGGCACCCTGCTCCACAAGCCTGCCGCCTGCCCAGAAGCACCCTGCTGTGCTTCGTGGGTTGGGCAGCCCCTCACTGTCCCATGCTCTGGGTCCTGCTGCTGCTGCTGCTCTGATGTGAGGGCTGTCACCTGGATCCAGGCGGGTCACTGCGCAGGGATCTCGGGTCCAGAGGATGCCTTCTACCCTGGCTCTTACTGGTCATGAGATCCCTCCTCCTGATTCTCAGAGGGCCCATTTTATACACAGCAGGATACCATTCCAGGGAATCCTGTTCACAGTTACTCAGGTGAATCCTGTCCGTATCTCCCCCACCTTCTGACCAGACCCAGGCAGGGAAAGGTCATTTGGTGAGAGTTCGGGTGGACGAGCCACACTGACTAATAATTCACTGCCCCTGTGTTGGCCTATGCCAGTTTAATTCCTAATCTACTTGCTGACAATCGCTTCTTTCCAGGCTGCTTTTAAAATAAGATTAAATGTTTAAACCTGCCCGCAAGTCAAGTGCCTGCACTCTAAAGGCTACATCGCCCTCTGTCGGTGAGAACTCAAACATTGTAATTATCTAAAAATAAAAGCAATCTATTCAAGAAGTCTTGGTGGCTCAGTAGTTAAAAGTGCTTGACTGCTCACCAGAAGGCCAGCAGTTTGTACCCACCAGCTGCTCCACAGGAGAAAGAGGTGGCAGTCTGCTCCGTAAAGACAGACAGCTTTGGAAACCCTGTGGGGCACTTCTACTCTGTCCCATGGGATGGGTCTAAGGTTTAGGCATTCAAACCTGTGCGTCCTACTGAGATCACGGGTTTTCCGACTGGTCTGCTTTTGTTTTGTGTGAAAACGGCAGTTGTTTAAGTGCCAGGGATGGCTTCTAGAGTCAGACCCACCCAGCATACACAGCCCTGCCTTCCAGTCGACTGGACTCACAGAGCCCCTGGGTGGGGCTTCTGAGACTCCCGTCTTGACAGGAGCAGGCTTCGGCGTCTCCTCCAGGCGAGGCTGATGGGTGCCCAGCAGCAGCCACAGGCTCCTCCTATCACAGTGTTTCTGAATCGCATCCATGAAAACTGGTCTGACTGGTTTCCTTTGTGATAGCAGCCTTTCTCGTGTTGTATTTTAAAAGGAAGCCCCTGTTCTTCCCTGACACGATTTCATTCAGGACACAGGCAAATGGACGGCCCTCTGATCCCCGCCGTGGCGGCGAGCTGACCGACCGGCTGTTTCTCTTTCTCCAGCCCCTTCAGTGCAGCCTTGGCAGATTTCTGGATGCCTGTGGATTTGTACGTCGGAGGCAAAGAGCACGCTGTCATGCACCTGTTCTATGCAAGATTCCTTAGTCATTTTTGCCACGATCAAAAGATGGTCAAACACAGGTGAGCATCACACTACCTTGCAAAAGAATTCCGTGCCAGGAATAGCACCTTGAAGCAGACGTCAGTTCTTCTGAAGCAAGGTACATACAGGGGGCTTCACAAAATGTGGGGAGGGGGTGGGGAGTGGAAGTGAAAGATAACAGAATGGCCCCAAGAACCTTTTGAAACCCCTTCATACAGGTAGCAGAAAAATTCTATTTTCTGAGGCTAGTCTGAGATTACTGTCAGCCTTAACCCTTCAGCTACATTTATATTGTTTCATTCGATCTAGCATGTGGTATTGAATCCTCACATAAAACCTAGCCCTCTGCTGCTGAGCTAGATCACTGAGGTTTTTACTTGTGAGGCAGAATAATTAAGGTTAACGGCTTTTTATAGCTTCTCACCGAAGGTTGTCTTTAATCATCTATTCTGCTCCAGGTAAGCTCTGTGCTTAGACCGGATGACTCCTGCCTCCATACAGCACCCTGATAAAAGTAGTAATCGATTAAAATCTGGGAACCGAATCCCATTGCCAACCTCTTAATAAATTTTCCCCCATGGTTCTATTATTTATTCCCCATTGTGTTCAGGAAAATGTGTGCCTTTTTATTGCCCTGAAGAATACCCTGCGCACACACACAAAATGTAGTTGATGCATGTGTACATTTTTTAAGAATAAACGAGCATCCCTGTGGCCTTAGAATACTCGGGACACCCCTCTCATTACATCGCCCCTCTCTCTCCATCTGCCCCAACCCCACCCCCAGCTAGCCCCAACCTTGGCTCTTAAGTTATTCATTTGCTCACTCGTGATTCTTTATCAGTGTATTTCCTCCATGCGTGTCCTTAAATGATGCACGTGACTTTGCATTCATTTCTTGGTTAATACTTTGGACGCTGTGCTAACACTGATAAACTTTGTGTGCCTGTTATTTCTTCTTCATAATAAACATGAAATAGTAACAGAAAAAAATACATATGTGTATATATATATATATATGGAGTTTGCTTATAATTACATTGATGCTATCTATAGATCAGTGAGGGGAAAGGCATGATTTTTTTAATATTTGTCTTTCTGTCTATAAGCATCCTATAGCTCTCCATTTATTTTGTGTGTCAAATATTCTTCAGTAAAATCCCGTTTTCTCCGTAGTGGGATGACACATTTTTGTTGTTTTGTAATTTTGCTGCTGTTATAAATGGTTTCCCTGTTTTAGGTGGTTGTTGTTTTGGTTTGTTTTTGTTTTTTTGGCTGCCATTATTTAGTAATACAACCAATATTAGCGTATTGATGTTATATCTGAAAAGCTTACTAATATTTTGCCAAGAGTTTTTATCATAAACAGACATGGAATTTCATTATGCGTTTCCCTAACCCATGGATGGGTATGATCATGTGGTTTTTCTCCTTTAATAATTAATATGGTAACTTTTATCAATGTAATTTTTTTATTTATTGAAAGATCATTATATTGGAGGCTCTTACAGCTCTCATAACAAACCATACATCAGTTGTATCAAGCATATTTGTACATACATTGCCATCATTATTTTCTAAACATTTACTTTCTATTGAGCCCTTAGTATCAGCTCCTCTTTTTGCCCTCCCTACCTCCCCCATCCTCATGAGCCTTTGATAAATTATAAATTATTATTTTCATATCTTACACCAGCCACTGACTCCCTTCCCCCATGGTTTCTGCTGTCTGTCCCCTGGAGGGAGGGGTCTATCATTGTGATCAGGTCCCCCTTCTTCCCCACCTCTTTCCACCTTCCCCCTACCCTCTCCTGGTATCCGCTGCTCCCATTCCCGTTCCTGGATCCCGTGTGCCCTCCACTCTTATCTCTTCTCTGTCTGCACCTGTGCACATGCTCCGGTCTAGCCCGCAGTGAAAGGCAGGACTGGGGTCATGACAGTGGGGCGTGAGGAAGCCTCAAGGAACCAGAGGAGCATTGTTTTCATTGGTGCTACACTGCGCCCTGGTGACCCTTCCTCGTGACCCTTCTGTGAGGGATGTCCCACTGTCTACAGATGGGTTTTGGGTCTCTGCTCTGACCCCTCTCGTTCTCAACAATATGGTTTTTTTTAACAGAATTTTTATCTCTGAAGTATACATTTTGTGTGCATTGCTGTATCCATTCTACTGATACTTTGCATTCGACTTTGACGTCTGTATTCATGAGTAAACGAGCCCTGACGAAAGGTCATAGGCATGAAACCACTCCCTTACGATCCACAGGATTGGCGGTTCGAACCCGCCAGCCTCTCTGGGAGTCAGAAACGTGACAATCTAGAAACCTTAAGCCCAAACCAAACTCCCTGCCCTCGAGGGGAGTCCACTCCAGTCGTGACCCGGTATGACAGGGTGGGACTGCCCCTGTGGGTTTCTGACGCTCTGTTTATGGGGGTAGAGCCCCGTCTTTCTCCGGAGGACCAGCTGGTGGTTTCAAACTGCAGGCCTTGTGGATCGAAGCCCAACTCAGAACCACTCTGCCAGTAGGGCTCCTGCAAACCCTCAGAGGGGCTTGGTTCTGCCCTGTGGGGTCACTGGGAGGGAAGTGACACGCCAGCAGTGGGTCAGGCTTGGTTGGGATAGTCGGGTGAGCTTTATGGGATGTGTTATGGCATATGCCTCCCCACCCCACCCCCTGTAGGATCTGTGCCAGACTGGAATTGTTCGTTTCGTAGTTGGTAGCGTTTAGCTATCAAGCTGTTTGGGGCGATTGCTGCGTGGTTATAACCTCGTTCCAGTTCGCTGTTTCTTCGTGGGTCCGTTGGGGCTTTTTATTCCAAGAACACGTCTCTCTTTCTGTCCGTTTTCAAACTTGCTGGCAAAATGTTTTCTACAGCTCACTTATTATCTGTGTTGCATCTGCTTGCTTTCTCCCTTTTGCTCCAAATATTGTTTACTTATTATCCTCCCTTTGTTTTCCTTGATCATGCTACCCAAGGATTGCTTAATTAGTTTATTCAAAGGCGGGAACATTAACTTTGTTGATCCTTTCTTTATTCGTTTTCTGACTTCTTAATTACTTCCTCCTGTCCTTGGGTTAATTCTGTTCTAGGTTCTTAGGTTGGATGCCTACAGTATTTTCCGCTTTTCTCGTGTGAGCAGTCAGATCGGTCTATTTTCCTGTCTCTGCCGGGGCTGGAATCTGCAAGGCTCCTCTTTGCTACTGTTTCAGCTCCTAGTGTTTCCTGGTTCCCACCGTGATTCGTTTCCTTTCAGCATGTGTGTAGAAACGTGGTTTTGATTTTAAGATAGAGTCCTCTGCTTACTAATCATTCCTGTCTTAATTACATGGTGATCAGAGAATGTGGCCTTTGTGGTATTAGAACTTGAAGCCTTGTTGGGTGTTGCCTCTGTGGAGTAAAAACGTTCAGTTTTGTAAATGTGTCCTTTCTGTTGGATATAATCTCTGTATGCCCATTAGATGAAATGTATTAATTAGTGCTATTTTAATCTTTTATTATTAAAAGATCTCTTTATTGGGGGCTCCTACTGCTCTTAGAACAATCCAAATTTGTTATAACATGATGGCAAATATGTTGCCATCCTTAATTTCTAGACATTTACTTTCTATTGAGCCCTAGTATCAGCTCCTCTTTTTTCCCTCCCCCTCCATGATCCCTTGATAAATTATAAATTGTTATTATTTTCATATTTTACACGGACCACTGTCTCCCTTCCCCCGACCACTGTCTCCCTTCCCCCATGGTTTCCGTTGTTTAACCCCCCGGGAGGGGGTTGGTGTGGTCATATGTTGATCCCTCCCACTACCCTAATGGTGTGCTGCTCCCATTCCTGTTCCTGGGTTCCTGTGTCCTGAGCTCTTATCCCTTCCCTGTACCTGTGCCCATGCTCCGGTCTAGCCTGCAGTGAAAGGCAGGACTGGGGTCATGATAGTGGGGGGTGAGGAAGCCTCAAGGAACCAGAGGAAGATTGTGTGTATCATCGGTGCTAGACTGCACCCTGGCTGACTCATTACCTTTTGTAAAAATCTATTTTGATCCATCAGCTATTTTTTTAATCGTTTTATTAGGGACTCATATAACTCCCACCACAATCCACACACATATCAACTGTGCGGATTTGTTTGCTTTTGATGTTTTGAGGCTCTTGTGATACGTGGACATAAACTTGGGACCGTTTTCTTCCTCTTGGAGCATTGAACCTTTGCCGCACGTTCGCTGGGAAGCAGAAGGGGCTAGGGGGCGACTAGCAGTGACAGTGATGTTCCTTATCGCCGGCAGTGCATTCTGCTGTGAGACCCGTATTTTGCTATTGATCTTCCTGCAATATCTTTCCCAGAAATGTCTCTCTCTGTGTGCTTCTGCCTTTTACAGTGCACGTGTCAGTGTCTTCAGTGGTGAGTAACTTTGTGCTATGGAGTTCTTGTTTCGTTGCCTAGATGGCCTTTCTCACAGCTTGGTGTTTAAATGGACACTTTTGTCCATTCCAACACTATTAGGGAACTAGTTATTCCTTCATTCCACGTCATACACACAGACAGTTGTTGGGAAATGGAATTAAAAGATTATAGAATTCTTCCACACACTTTTTCCTTTCTTTTATTTATGTTTTTTTTTCTTTTCTTTTTTTAATTAATCAATTTATTGGGGCTCATACAATTCATCACAATACATAGATCAATTGTGTAAAGCACATCTATACATTTGTTGCCCTCATCATTCCCAAAATTATTTATGTTTTTAATTAATCATTTCACTGGGGAGCTCTTACGTTCCACACACTTCTTGAAGCCTGATCGCGCGCATGTGTTTTAAAAAGCTGGTGGAAAGATAATGGCATTTTCTGAAAGTCCGGTGTGTGCGTGCGTGCGTGCGTGCGTGGGTGTGTGTGTGTGTGTGTGTGTGTGTGTGTGTGTGTGTGTCTGGTTTTTGAGGGTTTTCAGTGATTGAGTGTTTCTGAATTGCCTTTTTCTCGTTCTCGTTGTCTTCCCTGCCCTCTGCTGTCTGATACACGCTGTCGCCTTGAGTGAGGCTCGACCTG